GTAAATGTGGATCCATCCTTGAGTTTTAGTAAAATGTGCTATAATCGTTGAAGCGTAAGATATTAAGTTTGAGTTTGAGTTAATCTAAAAAGTATCTTTAAAAAAATCATGTGTAAATATTTCCTTTTGTGTGAATACTTTTTTATTAATTCTTTTAGTAAATAAGTCGCTTCTATAGTTGCTCTACCTAGTATGATTTTGAAGCCAAATTGATTTTCATAAATACTAGTCTCTAATCTCAACTTATTCTCAATCATTATTTTTTATAATTTCATTATATGACTTATAAGTTTAATCCTTTTATAATTTGCAAGATTTAAATATCTCCTTTATTTTTTTAAATAGGAACTAAGGTGCTTCTTCTCCATTTGTCAGGAATTTTTTTGGATAGTAAATTAGATAACTTAATTAGCCATCACATCCTTTCTTCATCTAAACATTTTCACACTTCAACAGGCATATAATTAGAGCCATTAGTTTTACCATTTTCTATTTTTTAAGAGCTTCCTTTACCTCAATATCGTGTTCTCTTCAATAGAATGATAAATTCTGCTTTTTTTTCACGAGTTATCAAATTCTTCAAGTTACTAAGCAAATCCCCTCCATTGTTAAAAAATTCATAAAAGTAGGTCTCTCATCTGTCTTTAATATCACTATTAGTAATCAAAACTCTTCTTTATTCATCTTTTATGTACCTTATTTGTTTTAGATCTCTTGATTTTTTCCTCTACTCTTAGCAATCTTATAGATTTTTTGTTCTTCATCCTTTGTTTCAAAACCCTTGTAAAACTCTTACAATGCTTTAGAATGAGATCTACTCTCAAATTTTTTAGCTTCCTTCTTCACCACAAGATACATTTTTCAATTTTCATCATTATTGCACAAATGAATGACTTTAAAACACTCCTTATATTTGACTTTTTTTCTATACATTAACATTCCATCACCAAAACTACTTATCTCAATATTAATAGCCTGGCATCCAATAATCATGTTTAAGGAAATAATTATGTTTCCAATTCTGTTAACTTTTACCACGTCCTTTTTCTACTTTTTATTAACAATGATACCCACCTCATTTTACGTGCTTACTTTCTTTATATATTAAAATTTGAAACCTTAAATATTTTTAACTTATTCATTGGGCGATTTCGCTTCTTGTGGGTACAAGATATAAATTTTACCTCAATAAAATGTAATCATTTTGTTGGTCAAATAAAATGTAATCATTGAATTGTTTTCAATCATAGTTCAAATATTGAATTGATAATTAATAAAGTTGAGATAGTCTAGGTTATATTTTCCCTTAAACAAACAAGTTATCCCAGAGCGGCGTCAAATTACCGTCCCTAATGAGTCGTTATTGTTCCAATTACGCTACTGTTGGAATTATAAAGCAGTCATCGCCATTATCAATTTGTGCTGCCCTTCCGCTATTTTTTATTCGAATTTCAATAAAAGAAAAGGTTCTTTTATTATTTAAAAAACAAAGTTTTCTTAAACATTAGGAATTAGAAAATGTAAACAAATTTTCTGCCTGATCGTTCAAGCTAACTTTTAAACTAATTATTCTATTCTCACCTTTATCAATTTTTTATTCAAACTTTTTAATCTTTCTTGGGTGGCTTTGATGCCAATTGGTGAAATTTTATTTCACACAATCAAATATTGAAGACTTTTTTATCAGTTGCGACTTGGGAGCCCTTTTAATTAGAAATCATTACCCACGCAAGAAATGTTGAAATATCTCACCTGAATCAAGAGTAATTGTTTTTTGGCCAATCAATCAAGAGCAATTAATATCATAAATTAATTCAATTGCCGTGATTCATTATAATAACAACCATTTGGATATACCTTCTTACGTGATAAAATGGCATGGCAGGAAAGAAAAATTATTTATGACGTATCATATCTCTGAATAAAACTGAACAATTAGAAGGATGATTGTTAGTAAATATGTTAATCTCCCTTTAGTTTTATTAAAATTGTATAGACTTCTATCATCTATCAGTTTTTCGAACTTATAGTTTAATCCAATCTTTAACATTGTGAACAATTCTAAAATAATTAATTTGATTCGTAAACACCATGTTAAAATATTTAAAGGTATTAGCATGTCTTTATAAGCTAATTATCTATATCGAAATTGTGAGTTTAAATAAACTTATAATAAACATAAACTCCAATTAAATTATAAATTCATAAGCATTTAAGTTTTTAGTAAATAATTTTTAAAATATACGAATATATAACTAAATATGATAATAATGGCAGAATTCAAAAGGGCTCTTTTAAATAAAATTTAATTTTTTTAAATTAATGCAATTAAACATGTTTTTTTCTTCTTTCTCATTTTCACCCTTTGGAAATTTATGTTTTAGTTAACATCTTGTTTTTATGATCACCTTTGATATTTTTTTATTATTTTAATTTTTTAATCATTTTCAATATTTTAAAATATGAATACTTTTAAATATATTATAATTTTAAAAATTATTAATTTTCATTCTAATATTAGTTTTATATAAAATGTATCTTAGAAGAAAATAATTACTATATTTTTTTGTTGATAAAGAAAAGTTGTTTATTATTTTTTAAATATTTTTAAAAGAACTTGTTCCTTGCCCGTGTGCGTATACCCCAACAGAAATATACAGTTATTTGTTCCTTTTGAAATGTACAAACATCTAGCGAAATAAATCTACTAGGCCTTCAAGTTTGGAGTCAATAATCTGGTTTAATTCTTTTACAGGTACAAATCCTCCAAGCAGATTAAAAAAAAAAAAAGAAAAAGAAACCCAGAACTAGGGTTCCCGATATCATCACTATCCATAATTCGATATCATTAAGATTTCTAGAGACAAGAAAATTCCCAAGTGGAAGCATTACTCTGTTTAATGTTCCCGAAAGAATGAGTTTTCAGTTATATGGTCTTCCCTAAACCACGTGCTCTATTGGGATATCTTATGAATCCATTTAAACATATTTTTTTTCTTCTTTCTCACTTTCACCGTTTGGAAATTTATGTCACTCTTGATGATTTCTTCTCTGTTTTTACCTTTATCCTTGGTATAATAATTGTAAAAATTTGACTCAATCTTTTATATTGTTAATATATTTCCTTTTTTATTTTATTTTACTTTGAGAAAAATTTTAAAAATTGATTTATGAAATAATTTTAAATAATGAAAAATAATAACAAATAATTTTTACAAAAATAAAGAAGATAGTGAAAATTGTGCAAACTATAGAGGATTAAACTTATGAGTTATACAATAAAATTAGAAAAAAAATGTGATTGAATATAGGTTGAGATTGGTATTTTTGAAAATCAATTTGGCTTCATACCAGATAAGGTAACTACAAAAGCTATTTATCTATTAAGAGAATTAATAAAAAAGTATCGATGTAAAGGTAAAGATTTACACATTATTTTTATTTATTTAGAAAAAGCTTATTACTATATACTGAGAGAAATACCTCAGAAAAGAAAGCAGTCTGAGTTGCCTATGTTAGAGTTATACAATATATATATATATATATATATGAATGAGCAACAATTAATATGAGAACGTCTCGCGGTGAATCAAAGAACTTTACTATAAGGGTTTGACTACATCAGGGATCATCTTTGAATCTTTGTTGGTTTGAATTAATCTTAAATATTTTCACTAAGCATATTCAAGAGAAAATTCCCAAATACATGCTTTTTAGTTGCAAATTCATCACAACAGATTTGTAAAATTAAGAAATTAAGTTGAAAATTTTTAAAGTTTGGCACTTGAGATCTAATTTGAATTAATTAGTCATTGTGGGACCTCTCTGTCATTCTCCCTTCTTTTTATGGATGACATAGTTCTTATTACGAAGATAATAAGAGATTAACTATAAACTTGAGTTATGGAGGAGAATATGGAGTCAAAAGGTTTATGCTTGAGTAGGAATAAGATATAATATTTGGATTGTAATTTTGATAAGAAGTCAACCAATAATAATTTAAAAGTAAAATTGGGAGATTAGACTATATCTCAAGTGAAAAAATTTAAATATTTAAAAATTATTATTCAACATGATGGGAAATTAATGAAAATGTGGCATATAGGATACAAGTTGAGTAATTTAATTTAAAAAGGTTAAAAGATTTATTTACAATCAAAATGTACCAAATAAACTTAAAGAAAATTTTTATTAAATTGCTATAAGGCTAATTATATTATATGATAGTAGTGAATTTTGAACTTTAATAGGATAGCAAGAAGTAAAGTTAGAGTGACAAATATGAGAATGTTGAGATAGATGTGCAGTCATATACATAAAGATAAAATTCAATATAAGCATATACAAAAAAAAAAAAGGTGTAGCATTAATTGAGGAAAAAAGATAAAAAAATTATTTAAGATGATTTAAACATAACAAAGAAGACGATAAAAGGCACAGGTGAAGAAAGTAAAATGAATAATTTTAAACTTTGATAAAAGAGGTAGAGAAAAGTCGAGAAGAATACTTATGAAAATTATTAATTAAAACCTCTTAATTAACAATATTTTTAAAAAATTGATAAATAATAAAATACAATAGTGTCATGTATTTTATATAATCAATCTTGTCTAGTGAGACAAGACTGTTGCTTGTTAAAAACTGATAACAAATCAAGTAAGCTAAAACTTGCCCACATGTTTAAATATTTATTTCTACTAGAGTATCTCACAAACATAAATATGAAAAGAACTACTACTTTAACATATCTATGCTTCATGTTTCATTAGACTAGATTTTTAAGTTAATTCAGTCAACGAAAGGTGAGGACTGGCATACAAGAAAAAGGAGTGGTGAACCTCAGCGACCCTTACTTCGGTAAAATTTACTATAAATACAAGACTCGCTTCACTCGTTCATCTAATCTCCTCACACTTCTACTCAAGTAATCCTTCTAAAAAATATGTGCTCATGCTTCATAGCAGCTAAGATTAGCCCATAAAGCAGGATTCTTGAAGAGGTCTACAAAAAGCACAAAAGTCATGCCAATTTTTAAAACATTTAATGAAAAAGGGAACAAGAAAATCTAGTGAGGGCCATCAGGTTCTGATCCGCAATAATTGACTCAACAGAATATGATCTTAGGTACAGGTACAGGAAAGATTTCAAAACCTACCACTAATGAAAGGGCAGTTGCAAAGGGGCGATCCCTGAAGGGTATAAAAGGCTACAGGCAAATCCTGACATCAGCTATCTAGTTTTCTACTAATTTACATTGTTACAGAGCCTCAGAGAACATCCTCGGCTTACAGCAAAGTCCCAGGGGAACTCGCTAATTATAAAAGTTGCGGCAATGTTGGCCAATGGTCCTTAGAACAATGATCACTGCCTATGTACTGGCGGTGTTGAAGGATGGCTTTGCCCATAAAACCCAACGCCAGGTGGCCTGAAAAATCCTCCTGTTGCAGACTGTTGCTGTTGCTGTGCTTGCTGAGCTTGTGACTGCTGTGATGGCTGAGTGTTCGGCCTTGATAACCCTGCTGCTACATGCGGAGGTAAAGGAGGTGGAGGTGGAGGTGGGAGGTTATTTGATCCATATCCATAAGGAATACCTCCAATCATCAAACCAGTGGATTGGACATATTGATTTGCTGGAGAATGAGAGGGTGGAGGCGGGGGCGGGGGCGGGGGTGCTGGAGCAAATGCAGTTTGCAATTGACTAGGCTGTGACATGGCCTGGAGGTTCAGTGAAGGTGCAAGTGGCATATTTGCCATTGAAGGCTGTGATGAAGGGGCAAAAAATGAAGAGCCACCTGCATCAGAATTGCTGACATCAGGCAATGGTTTTTCAAGTTTGGGTCTTTTCTCTGGGTTGAACATAGGTAGTCCAGAAGTGAATCCAGTGGGTTTTGAGCTACCATTCATGGAAGCAGCTTCCTCGGCAACAAGAGAGGAAAGAATTGACGTAAGCATCTGAGCAGATGATGTGGAGGCAGCAAGCTTAGCAGCAACAGCAGCCGCTGCTGCCTTCTTGTTATCTTCTTCAGTAGTCTTGAGAGGAGCAAATGACAAAAGAGGTTGGCTAAAAGGAGGCTGTGCAGAGGTGCTGTTAAATTGAGCTGAAGGAGCATTCTGCTCCAACACCCTTGTGTCTTCTGCTGCTGGGTTAAGCCTCTTCCTTACACAAACTGCCCGGTCAATCTGTTCCCGTGCACCCTACAAATCAATAAAAACATCAACACCACTCTTCCACACATAAGAAAAGAAACATAAGTGTAACATAAAGGAGATAAAAGTGTATGTACAAGTCAGAGACTATCAGGCCATTTGGTTAGTTGAATATTTTTTACAATGTCTATCATAGTCTTGTAATCATTAACCCCTAGTTTCTATCATCCTCTTATTACTTTTTGAAGTACGGGAACAAGAGTCATTTTTCATCTCCCAAATCACATTTTTCATTCCATTTCTATCCCATTAAGTGCACCAAATGGCCTGTATATGCTGGATCATAAGAGACCCCAGAATAAGAAGTTTAATGGCCATGGAAGGGAAATTTAAGCATCGTCAGCAAGCTGCTGTTATCTGCATGGTCTGTCCACAGAGCTAGAAATAAAGTTTTTAAGAATTCACATAAAACTGATAAGGTAACACCTCCATCAACTCCTTTGTGTAAGGCAAAAGAAAAAAAGATGTGTCATTTTGGGTAGCGTACCCTGGAAAAAAAAAAAAACTAATGGAATTTAATTTAATATCATAACTAAGAGGCAAAATGCAATTCCTATAAAATATTTCATAAAATATGGGCGGGCCAGTTGTGTTGGAGAAAGTGGTCATCTGAATGAATATTGGCAAAATAAAGTACCAGTACCAGGCAGAAACAGCAGAAAAAGTCCCCACAATTTTAGAAAGGAAGTATGCTAACAAGTGGATGATAAGTCGATCCCTTGACATGTCTGCAGTCTAGGGAAAAAAAAAAAACAAAGGGGGAGAGGGATCCTACTCCTTACAAATTTGAAGTGACTAAGATGCAGACGTGGAAGCACACAATAGTGGGAAGCAAGTAGGAAGAGATGCGAATAAATCCTTGTAAATTTATCACGTATCAGATATGAAAAGACAGATCAAATGTTGATGAGCTTATTACAAATAAAAAATGGCAAAAGTCGCATGAAAACAAATAGCAAAATCAAAACATCCCGTGTTGAAAAGAAAGAATTGACATGAATTACAACTATTAGCATATTTATCAATAATAAGACAAGCCAAGATAGATCACGTGATGTGCTCTAATGCAATAGCGAATCAATTTTTAAGACTAAACCATCGCTAAAAGAATTCAAGGAAAATTAGAGCACAGAAAAGAACAGAAAAAAAGGGCCTATGAAGGGAACCGAAACATGTTCCCATTTAGAAATTCATTCTTTTTACGCATAGAAAATTAAAATAGTTCCAGATATACTATTTTCATTTTAAAATAGTTCCACATATACCATTTTCATAGGAAAACATTATAAACACAGTTTCAAGAAAAAAAATTCAGTTAATTTAGCAAAGACAAAATGATAATTGAACAGAACCCACAAGAAAGAGAGATAAAGATGAGGGGTATAAAAGCCTATCTTGAGTCCTAACCAAGTAGCTTAAGCTATTTTGGTATAATGAATAGCTCCCAGTACAACCGTATACAAAAATTCAATATCATACAGTGTAGAGCTAGTAATTCGGGAGGACCGGGCTTATTCAAGTCGAGCTCAATTCAGGTCGGGCTTAAAGAATCCTACTCTTTCTAAAAAACCCATATAGCCAAACCCGGCTCTAACACCTTCGGGCTAGCCCGAATATCCAAAATTTTTTAAAAAACACTTCTTTTATTTTAATCAATTTTAATTTTTAAATAATTTTATTAAGCATAACATATCATTTTAACTTGAAAGGAATAAAAAAATAATAACTTATCAGCTTTGTAGTTAAGTATTTAAATAGCTCTGTTATTGTTTTATTGTATTATGTGCAATTTATTCATGAATGTTTCCTTTACTTGTAAATTAATGTCTTATTTATTTAAATATTGCCCTTATCATGGTTATATAAAAATATTTATATATTTTAATTGAATCATATTATTTTAATTATGATCAAGTTAATCTCAATTCAACTACGGTTAGACCACTAATTTAAAATTATTGTCCTGATTAGTTCAAAGTTTTTAATAACTATTGGATAAACTGTACTTTTCGTTTTTAAAAATATGAGAAAAATAGTCATCATTATATTGTATAAAACAAAATATTTTAATTATGAATAAAATACTATTTTTCACCAGCAACTGCGTGCGGACCATAACAGTGTTAGACCCATGAAGAATGAAAGGACAGATTCTCACCAGCAACTGCGTGCGGACCATCTCCTGCCTTGATCCCTGAAAAACTTTAGATCAGTAAGCAGTCATCAATCGCACAAAGCTTGTCAACAATTGAAGCCTCAGAATATATAAGATTATAAAAACATCTGTACTTGTTCCAGAAGTGCGTCTTTAAGATGGGAAAGCAAGGAATCCCTAGCAGCCTCAGCATTTTCAAGTTGCAATATATATTGCTTAAGCTCCTTTTCCTGATCTTGCAGGTCATTCATCAAAGTGGATCCTAGCTGATTCCCTATGTAACAAACAACCCACAAAAAAGGTAATCATCAATACAAATAATTCTTCAATCACTTTAACGTAAAATAGAAATTTGGGCCCAACAGCTTGAATTTGTTTGGTGAAAACTCAAAAGTACCAAATACCAAATAGTTTCCAACCAAAAAAAAAAAAAAGAGATCTGGTTGACCTTCAAATATTAAAGGCAGAAAAAACAATTGAAGTAATGAAAGACATTTTGTCTAATGCAGAGCAGACAGTCAGCATGTGCTATGAGAATGTCCTGCCCAAAAATAATTAGGTATTTTAGTTCATGTATTGGAATAATGAGCAGTTCCAGAACCAATGCGAAAAATCATAAGCACATCTATTCAGTGAAGATATCACTAGCCAGTGCACCCAATTAAACAGCATTTCCTGTAGTCCAACTGTTATAGATAATTGCAAGCCTGTCTATTCATCAAGGAAATACTGCTTCACTTGACTTTTGACCACCATTAATTTCATACTTTATGACGGTGGAAATTAGTACAGAACAATCTCTTATCCTTTAAATGATCTCTGCAAATTCCATAGAACAGCAGTTCAACATTTTCTTTTCCTTTTTTCCCCCACTTAAAGGTGGGAAAAGCCAGAAGACTTGCTTGAGCATGACTTATTCAAAAACACTAGAAGGCATTTACTCCCATTCAGTTTCCCATTGCTTCAGAACTAGCAAGGAGCATACAGCCTTGGAAAACATCTAAGGGAAAGCAAGAAAGATACCATTAAATGGGAATTATCCAAATTATTTGACCATTTCATGAGCACAATGTCCATATATTATGCAGTCTATTTCTACAACAGAGATATTGCTGATACATGCAAAGCTTCCCCCTTTCTTCTCTCTTTCATACATGGGTTCCGTGCATTCCATTGTTTTCTTTCAGAAAATAAGTTGAAGTTTCTGAGCACAAATTTCCAGGCTTTCATATCATCAAGAGGATCAAAAATTGCAATATTCTGCCCTAAAATCTGGTTGGATCATATTCAAAATCAAAGTCATTTCAGGATCAATGTTTTTAAAATTAGACCAATCATTAAACCAATTAACACATTGATATATCAATCTATAATATAAAACTTGAAGAAAGGTGCATTATTTACAAGTCATGAACAATGCCACTCACCTAAGAACCAGTGTATAGCATCACGTTCTAGTTAGTTTATTATTTATTGATTTGGTCCTAATTGAAATAGCTAAATATATACCAACAAGTGACATGCAAATATTATGAAATATTATTAAACTAAAATAAAGCCAACCCTTGTATAATATCTAACTTCATTTTACTTGCTAATTTAAAATTTGACCTTAAAATAATTTATCCTACAACTTTAGCTTGGAGAAGATAAGCAACACAGAAGGGACAGAGACTTCCAACAAAGAGAGGGATCTCACTACTCAAAATGTGAAGATACTCCAACGTAAGGAAGGGAAAAGAACAATTGGAAAGATGAGCTATGAGAAGGGAACTATTGCAGCAGTAGGTGAAAAGAGGAACTCGATGGAAAGTGCTAACCCAGGAGAACAAAAGACTGGAACTAGTGAAGGGATGCTGCAAAAAAGGAGTCAAGTCTTGTATAAGGACTCTTTGTTGGGTTACAATGGAGTGGATAATGAGCATGTGGCGATGTAAGAAGAAGATAAATGACAACTGGAGAGAAGGTAGTGAAGTTGGTGATTACACAGAAGCACAGTGCTCATGAAGACGTATCCTATTATTGAAGTGTCCCAACTCCCAAAGTGAAAGATGTGAATACCCTAAACAGTGGAGAAAGGCTCTGATAATAACATTGGTAGGCAAAAGTCTAAGATATAGGCTCATGAAACATAGGCTCACAAAGTTGCTAAGTATACCGGACTATGAGCTAATAGATGTGGAAAACAACAATTACATTGTAAGGTTCCAATATGAAGAAGCCCATGAGGCGATGACACAATCCTGAATGATGGATCTTGGGCAATCTTAGGACATCATTTATATTACAAAGGTGGGCACTAGAACTCATTCCTTCCAGCAATGTTCTGAGCATGATTCAATCTGGGTAAATGTTAAACACTTGGAATAGTAATAACAAAGCAAATAAATTTACTAAATTAATTAGAGCAAGAATCTTACCCCAATGAACTCTAGCCAAAGTAAGAGAATCTCCAATGGAAAGGATAATTTATTTCTCAAATGTGACTAGCTATAATGAGAACTGGCTCATTTATAATGAAGGAATTACATCAGAATAATAAATAAATAATCAGAAAATATCCCAAATATCTGCGAAGACTCAAAACTGACTTGAATGTGGGTGAACCACTTAACAACTGTTGGTCCGCTCATTTAGCTAACTAATACTGAAAATGCAACAAATAATCAGAAACTAATTTAATTTTCATAACCGACTCTAACTTCCTCCCCTTTCTTCTCTGATAAGTCAAAAGTGGAGGAGATTTTGAGAACTCCCCCCTGAAAACAGACTAGTTTTCAAGTCGAAAAGTGGGCAATTGAGTGGCCACCAAATCATAATCCTCCCAACTAGAATCTACAAGCGGTCAGCGATCCATCATTAATTAAAATTTCCAGAATACCTTCCAGTGTCCAACGATGATTCAGCACCTTTATTGGAGGAGGACAAGTTCCAAGCAGAGAGTGCTAAAGAAGCTGTGTGATGGTTGTGCTGAAGATGGTTGCTATCCAAGAGGTGGTCAGAGGATGGAGACTTGAAAAATAGGATGAACCTTAGACTTATGAGGCAATTCAAGTTCATAAGTAACTGATCCAAACATCTCAAAACCTTGTAGGGTCAATAAAATCCCCCGCCCCTCTTATGCTTAGCCAAGGACTTTTGGCAATAAGGTTGAAGATGAAGAAAAACTGCATCCCCTGGTTCAAACTAAAGGTCTCACCTTTGCTGATCCACCTGAACTTTCATCCTATCTTGTGTTTTCTTCAAGTTATCATGCAGCACTCTGAGCATTGCATCACACAGCTCCAATTGTTCCTCTAAATCAGCAACTAATGTTTCTCCCTTCACAAAAGGGCATAAAGAAGGAGGATCATGTCCATAAACTAGTTTAAAGGACTGAAGAGTGAAAAACTGGGGTTAAATGAGAATTCAGCCCAGCAAAGAAATTTACTCTACAACTTAGGTTGTAGGTCTCCAAGCAGCAATTTACCACCTCGGTTTGGCCATCAGATTGTGGTTATATGTTGTACTTGTATTTAAGCAACTTTGGCTCAAACAAAAGAGTTCTTGCCAAAAAACACTTAAAAAGATGGAGTCACAATCTGCAGTGATAGACCGAGGCATGCCATGCAACCTCACAATCTCCTTACAAATAGAGCAGCTACAAATTTGGCAATAAAAGGATGAGATAATGGAATTAAATGGCTGTACTTACTTAGACGGTCGACAATGAATAGAATGGTGTCATAACCTTTGGATTTAGGGAGCCTGGTGATGAAATCCATTGATATTTCTTCCCAAATTTGTTCCATAATGGGTAATGGCTAAAGGAGACCTGCGAGCCAAAGTTTGGTACTTGTTTTGTTGACAAGTGAGACATCGGTGCACAAACATGCCAATGTAACTGAGCACCAAGTCATTTTAAGGTTTTGAGATAGCCGCCATGGCCTTCAAGACAGGGAATCAATTGCTGTATTTTCCTTTCCAGGCTTACACATAATGGTGAGATCAAACGAGGAGTTTGATCATGAGTCTTTGCTTGGAATTAGTCAATGTGCATTGCTCCAGTAAGTGTTTGAGGCTGCAATGATCAATTTGAATATAGAAGTGACAGCCTAGAAGGTAATGGCAACATTTTTGTAATGCCTGCATCACAGCTAACAGCTCTTAATCATAAGCAAATTTAAATCTACTGGAAGGAAAAACCCTTACTAAAATATGCTAGGGGTAGCCATCTTGCATAAGTACAACTCCTATACCATCCATGGACACATCACATTCAAATGTAAATAAGGTGGAAGTCTGGTAATTATAACATCGAGGCGGTGGTTAAGGCACGCTTTAAATCTTTAAAAGAATGATGTGCCTATTTAGACCAACAAAAAGCATTTTTCTTTGTCAAATCCGGTGAGGGATTAAGCAATAATACCATAGTTTTTGAAAAAGCGACAGTAGCATCCGGTGAAGCCCAAAAACCTCAAAGATCTTTCACTGGATTTTAGAGTTGGCCAACTAGAAACAGCAGTGATTTTCTCCAAATCAATTCCACTCCAAGAGCAGATGCTACATGTTCCAAATAGTTGATTCGAGACTATCCCAGAGCATTTCTTGGTATTTACAAAGTAAGTGTTTTAACAGACGAAATACAACCTACAAATGCTTCAAGTGTTGTTAAGGAGAGGAGCTGTAGACCAAAATGTCATCAAAAAAGACTAGAATAAACTTTCTCAAGTAAGGATGGAAAAAATCATTCATAATTGCTTGGAAGCAGCAGGCGCATTAGTCAAGCCAAAGACATGACTACAAACTCAATGTCCCGAATGGGTACAAAAGGCCGTCTTAAGAATGTGAGCAAGAAGTACTCGAATTTGGTGGTAGCTAGAACACCAGTCAATTTTTAAAAACAAGTCGCCCCATACAATTCATTTAAAAGCTCATTAGTATTAGGAATGGGGGGTACTTATCTAGTATTGTAAGCTGATTAAGCCGGCACATGTGCAAAGAGTTGTCATTTTTGCTAACCAATAAGACAACACTTGCAAAAGGTCTGTTACTAGACCAAAAAAAGCCACGCTGCAACAACTCCTCAACTTGTGCTTCAATTTCATCCTTCAAATAGTGAGGACATCAATATGGGCATAAATAAGGCAGTGAAGCATTTAGAAGCAATAGTATGGCATGATAGTAATCATGAGGTAGCAGCAGACTCACTAGCTTAGAAAAACATCAGCAAAGTCATTACAACTTTTTTCAACATTCAATGATTCGGTTGCGTCAACCTCAACTGATTCTTGAGTAAGAAGCATCTATGGAGATGAATAGAAGCATTTAAGCCTTGCAATTTGTATTTCTTCCCATTAAGCCAAAAGATCATAAACATTTTATTCCAATTGCCTTCTATCGTGTTCAAAGAGACTAGCCATTTAATACCCAGCACCAAGTCACAACCCCTAAAGAAAAGGGTAGAAATCTTGTTGAATAATTAAATCTGAAATTTTTACCTTAACCTTTGGGCAAACCTGGTGGCATTTTACTCTAGTGCCATTGCCAATCTGAACACCAAAAGCAAGAATATTTCTAACAGGAAGTTGTAATTTGACTAACACTGCCTTTGAGATGAAATTACGTGCTTAACCGCTATCAATTAAGATAAAGACTGACCTCCCTTCTAGAGTACCCTACAGCTTCATAGTTGATGCTGAGTTCTGCCCCAAGATGGCGTTGAATGAAATCTCAACATTTTTAGGCTCCCTCTTTGTCTCAGCTACTTTGTTCAATAGGGGTGACACTTCTTCGTCCTCTTCAGCAATTTCTAAGAGGGAGAAAGAAGCATTGCAACGATGCCCTGGGTTGAAGACTTGTCCACAACGAAGCAAAGCCCCTTTTCACGCTAGTGTTACTACTTCGAGTCTAATAGAAGGGATAGGGCCCAGATTGAGGGAGAGAATTGTGAGGAGTTCGCGAACACTGAGGAGAGTTTAGAGGAGTTTAAAGAGTTAATAGTACCTGGCCTGGTGTCACAAGAGTCACATGTAGAGTTAATATGAACATGTGTGGTGTAATTTTGAGCTACATGAGAAATGGGCTTGGGTCGATGGTGAAGCTGGGCCTTTTTCTCAAATTCTAGGGCTAAACTTGCAGCCTTATACGTTGTCTTAGGTTTCTAAATGGGTACATTAGCTTTCAACTCTTCTTTGAGACCGCTAAGGAAGACCCCAAAGAGACAATGCTCTAACCAGTTGGAGACATGCAACTCTCTTCACAACTCTTAGCGTATGCCTTACTAACCCAGTCTGCCTAATGGCATTAAGGTGTTCGTTAGGGTTCAAAATATTCTAGAGGTCCATAATGCTCCTATAACACTTTGACATGCTCTTCACAATACAGCACCGTAAGCTTAGAATTTATCCAAGAGAATAAATCCAAGGTGTCACCTTCCCAATAAATAGAAGCTACATCTACTTTAAATCTTCTGGAGTCTAACAGTAGAAATATTTTTCCGCCCTTAGAATCCACCACACAAATCACCACCATTGAATCTGGGGAATTCAATTTTTGTGTGTGGTGTGACGTAGGCCCCTTATGTTGTAGTCATCTTAATTTTCTTCTTCCCAATAAGAGTATTGGTACTTTTTTTTATCCATAGGTCTCTTGCCCTTATTGTAGAGGCCTTAAGTGCTTTTGCCTTTTCCTTTAGCAGGTAAGCATTTCAAGTTTTGAAGCAATGACAGCCAAAGGGGCTTCTACAAACAAGCTTATAGTAATAATAAAGCCAATAAATCTATTAAATTAATTAGAGCAAGAATATCCCCCTGATGAACTCAATAGCCAAAGTAGGAAAATCTCCGATGAAAGGATAATTTATTTCTCAATGTGACTAGCTATAATGAAAACTAGCCCATTTTTAATGCGGCAATTACATCAGAATAATATATAAATAATCAAAAATATCCCAAAATATTTGGGAAGACTCAAAACTGACTTGAATGCGAGG